CCCTCAGGGACAGTCCCCGCTGGGTTCACAGCCCGAAGCTGTGGGGACGTCTCTTCCCGGCCTGGAGCCCTGGGCTGGGGCCCAATGTGGGGCTGGGACCCCTCCTCCGGGAAACCTCCCCGCCGAGTTTCCCTCCCGGGTGTGCCCGTGGCACTGGGTGTGGGCCCGAGGCCGCGTCTCCGATTCAGCCCCGACCCGCCTGCGTCTCCGCCCCTCCTACCATCTCGGTGCTTCCTCAGCTCCCCGGCTGTGGGGCTTCTGTTCAGCCGGATCTCAGGAGGCTCTGAGTGATGCTGGTTCTGTGTTTTAGTTGTGATTTTGATGTGGCTGGGGGAGGCGGCGGGGACATCTGTTACCTACGCCGCCATCTTGTTTCTCTCCTGATTTGCTATTTTTAAATGCAGGTATTTTTCAATCCCAAATTGTATCTTTGATGCTTCCTAAATACCTAAGATCAAACATTTAAGAATAATAAATTCCACCCTGCCCAGCCCCGCGTTCTTCGAGGATTCGTAGGTTTCAATATCCAGCCTGGCTGGGGTCCCCTGGGAGCCGCTCGTCCCTCTGTCCTCCCCACACCGGGTCTGACCCAGGGCAGCTTCCTCGCATGAGACCCACTCTCACAGCTGCGGCACCTTTTGTAGTTGTGCTGTTTGCAGAAGGATGGAACAGGATAGAGATGATGGAGGAACATTTGAGAAGCAGTCAAGACGGACATTGAAAACAGAAGCGTCAGGATAGGGCGTCCCACGACGCGGGGGTTAGTGGCCCCCAGCAGCCCCCACCTCCCTTCCGCCGTCAGCAGCATCCTCTGGCTGCCTCGTACCCAACCTCGAGCTTCTCTTAGGAATCCCTGAGACGGGAGGCTCCCTCCTGACTGCCTTCCACAGGCTCACAACCTTGCAGCATCTGCAAATGGGCACCTCTGAATGGAAATTTGAATACAGCTCTCTGCTCCTCCTGATTATAGCTCATGATGAAGATGCATCTATATAATGTGATACTAGATGGAGCCCGAGGTAGCATAGCCCATGGGGAGGCTTGTTTTCCAGCACAAATATGTCCAAACAATTCTGAGATATACCAACAGAGATGTGTACACCTCTTCCCCCTTGAACCTAGACAGTTTGTTTCAACATTGCGCCTGCCTTGAGTTCTCATGTGTTGAAGGTGATTTAACCTTCATTTCTCCCCGTATTTTAGGATGTTCTCATGCTGGGAGCAGTGGGAGCTTATGACTGGAGTGGGACTGTTGTTCATCAGACGTCTCACAGACACCTGATCTTCTCTAAACAAGCCTTTGACCAAATCCTACAAGATAGGAATCACAGTTCGTATTTAGGTAAGTGTGGGCGGGAGGGCTCAGCCAGTGTAAGTCCCCTTCCCTTAAACCAGCCGTGTTGAATCTCGACCCGTTCAGCCCTCGAACTCTCATCTACATATTATATTTATTACACAGGATTTATGTTCCCTCTTTGCCCATCAGGCCTTTGCCCATAGCTACGTAATGGAATCTCTGGATTTTACTCACAGTCTCCTCTGGCTGTTCAGTGGTGGTTGTTCCTGTGACATGATTGTGTTTCTCCAAAATGGAAATAGTTCCTAAAAGCCAGCACGGCAAGTGATAGTCTGATATGAATTTAGCTCTTAGTCTATTCCCGTGATAAGCAGCCACCGGTTTTGAACACTTCCTATGGGACAGTTCCTGCTCTATCAGCATGAACATTTAAATCCTTCCAGCAACCCTTTGAGGGACTCGTTAAAGAAAGAATTGTCGCCCAGCCAGAGTGGCTCAGTGGTTGAGCATCGACCCGTGAACCAAGAGGTCACGGTTTGATTCCCGGTCAGGGCCCGTGCCTGCGTTGTGGGCTCGATCCCCAGCAGGAGTTTGCACGAGGCAGCTGGTCGATGTTCCTCTCTTATCAATGTTTCTACCTCTGTATCCCTCCTCCTTCCCCTTTCTCTAAAATCAATAAAAACACTTTAAAAAAAGACATAGTTGTTCTTAGGGCCAGGTTCATGAGGGGCTGATGGGGACCACCCAGAATCTGGGGTCAGCTTTATGGGTAGATGCCCCACCAAGGCCAGGCAAAGGTGCTGGTCGGAGGGCAGGAGCAGGTCATCTTAGAAACGGAGACACGGCCTCGGCGACCTGCTCGGGACATGGAGCTGTGCACCACACTTAACGAGAAGGGGCCTCTGCTCTCCTGCACAACTCGGCAGGCCTGGCTGAGCATCCCATGGACCTGCTGTCTCCTTCCCTCCCAGGTTACTCCGTGGCTGCCATCTCCACTGGAAAAGGGGTCCACTTTGTCGCGGGCGCTCCTCGGGCGAACTACACTGGCCAGATAGTGCTGTACAGCGTCAATGAGAACGGCAATGTCACAATCATCCAGGCTCACAGAGGCGACCAGGTAAAGCCCATCGTTTAGCAGGTGAAATGAATTTTAGGGACAGCTGGGGCGGGTGGGGAGTGGAGAGTTGGTGGAAATTGTAACTACCATTTATTGAGTGTCTACCCTGCAGCTGGCTCTGTCATCTGCGTTACCTGGAATATTCCTTAAATCTGCACAACAATACGGAGACCTGCTGTGTCCTTTTGACAGGTTCCTGAGAGACTGACTGCCTCTCCGGGTCACATAGCTTTCAGGGGTTGAGCTGTCATTCGGACCCAACCTGGGGTGGCCTCAAAGCCGGTGCTGTTTGGCTACGCCCCACTCTGTATTTTTGACTCCCAGATTGATAACATGTGGGCCTTATTTAGCCGTGATGACGGGCACCCAACCACTGCCTGTAGGCAAGCCCCCACTGGGAGCCGAGGATTCAGAGGAGAAATAACAAGAAGGGAGGGTGTCCTGTCGCTTTGACCTTGCTGAGAGTCAGGCAGGGCTCTTCTCTGCCACTGTCTTCTGACGTGGGACAGTTTCAGAGATTGTCTGGGTCGCGGCCCCCCAGCAGAGGTCAGCTGATAGACTCCCGTGAGCAGTTTGACCCGCGAGCCAGGCCCCAGTGTGAAATGTGTTTCACGGATCTCTGACAACCAATGGAAGGTTTTCCTCACGTGGGAGAAACCAACTCTCCACAGGTTTCTCTGCTTTGGGACTGAGTCTGGTCCCTTTGTTCCTCTGGGTTTCCCAGGAGTAAGAAGACCCAACCGAGTCTTTGACTTCCTGCACCGCAAACCAGCTCTGGTCACCCACTTCCCCTTCTCTTTAATATTTTTAAAAGGATGCTTTTATTTTGAGGGGGGGAAAAACAAAAAACAATGAAAGTGTTAGGGAATTATTTCTCATTTATTTCCAAATCCTTCCGAGGTTTTCGCGGAGGCGTAGACGGAACGTTGAATGGGATGAATATTCAAATCCCCAGCCTCTCTCACCTCACTACCTGCCCCTCACCCTCCCTCCCGTCCCTCTGTCCACCGATTCCCCCCGGCCCCAGACCAGGCCTGGACACCTCCAGCGCTCACGCTTTCCCGCTCCTCTCCACTTGGAAACCTGGACGGTGACTTTTAAGATGCAGTTCATACAATACTTCATCTTGCTAAGCCTCCCTGGCTCCCTGCGCTCCGACTCAGTATTTGGCGCTCTCCTCTATTGTAACATATTTTCCATGGACGCACAATATCTGTTCCACTTCTCCTCCCCCCTTCCTCTGTAGCACACCCCACATACTTTCTAACTGGTCTTTGACCCCCCCCCC